TTCGCCTACGTGGACGACTTACTCTATACTGGCGATAGCACGGAACTTCTTGACCGCTTCAAAGAGGAGATCAAAGAAAAAAAAAAGAGGTAACGATCAACCACAACATCACACAGTTCCTGGGTCTAAGTGTCACCCGATCTGCCACCTCCATCCACCTCTTAGTCGCTAAATACGTGGAAACGTTCGCGAAAAAAATTGCGATCACACCGATCAACCTAAACACCCCCTTTCCGCACTCCTCCTAATCACGATCCAGACACCACATCGCTCTCCATCGAAAATCATCGGCTCTACCAGCAGCAGCTGGGTTGTCTATTGTTCGTCGCCGTCACGTGCCGGCCGGATCCCTTCTACGTCGCAAGCAAGCTCGCAAAGTATCTGCGCTGGCCTGAAGGGGAGAATCTAATAAACCTACGCCGAGCACTTCAATACTTCATTCCTACTCCTGACGCCGGACTCATCTACACGGCTAATCTAACGGCTAATCTCCATCTTCACGGCTACGTAGATGCAGACCATGAGGGAGACGTAGTCAACAGACGCTCCCACACAAGTTCTCATATTTCAACTTCAACATGCTGGACTCATCTCATGGAACTCCGAGAAGCAGGAGCTCATCACTCTTTCGTCAGGCGTAGCTGAATTCATCGCCGCCAGCGTAGCTGTTCGCGAAGGAGTATACTTAATGGAACTCCTGCAAGAATCGAATGTGACAATGAACGAGCACTTCACGCTACTCTGCGACAACCAGAGCGCGATCAGAATAGCGATCAAGCTCGGCTTCATGAATCACACAAAGCACATCGCACTACGTTACTTCTGTTGAAATATATATGTAACTGCCTGTAGCTGTAGTGTAGTGTAGTTATTATAACCTATTGGTGGTGCACCTTCTTTGCATGCTTTGTTTGCTATTTGTACCTCGCTCAATAGTGAACTCATCCTCTTTGGCTAAACTCTCTCGACATGTTCCTCTCAAGTCCCCTCCTACCCCAAACTTTAGTCTAAACCTAATCTACTCTTTTAACATGGTATTAAGAGCTAGGTCGTCCTAAGACCTATTTTTTTTTTCCCATGGGCCCACCACGTATCCCCCCGCTCATGGCGCTCGTCACGCCCCCCGTCGCGACCGTAGTTACGACGGTTGCAACGGTCGCGACCGACAAAACGGTCTCGGCGGCGAGCTGCGCGACGGCGTCAGGTGCGGCCTCGTTTCGTCTCCCCGTCGCGCCCGTTGCCTCTGCTCGTCGCGCGCATTGCCTGCCCCGCCCGTTCTGTCACGAACACAGCAGCAGCCGCGCGCAGCTGCGTACGGCCGCGCATTGCTGCGCGCAACTGCGTACGACCGTGCGCACCCGCGCACGGTCGTGTGCGCCAGCACCAGCGCCCGTCGCCAGCACCTGCGCGAGCGCCAGCGACGACGCCAGCGCCAGCAGCAGCTAACGCCGCCCCCCCCTTCCCTTCCGCAGCTTCCGCCGTGGGGGGGGGGGATGTGGGGGTGGCGGGTGTGAGTTGCCTGCAGCCCGTCCTTCCCCTCCCTTCAGCGTGGTCCGCCGTGAGGGGGGCAAGAGGTTGCGGGGGGAGGGTGAGGGGAAAGGGGGAGATTGTGAAGGAGTGGAGAGAGAGATTCTGCCGAGCCAGCAGCCGCCCCTCCTCCTCTCTCTCTCACTGCCACGTGTGCTGCCGTGGGGGGGAGGGTGAGACGGTAGCGGAAGTCAGCTAGGCATCTGCAGCTGCCGCCCGCTGCTATCGTGACACCTTCTGCTGCCGCCCCTGCCTCCAACTGCTGTTTATTCTGCTGTCTTCTGCTGTTGAGCGGCAGGTGCTGCCGTTGAGCCCTGCTGTTCCGCCGCACGCACCCGCTCTCCAGGCGACCTGCCGCCACATGCACCTTTGCCTGTTGCTTCTACCTTGGCTGAGGGGTTGGTGTAGCAGAATCTGCCACCACTGCACCGGTTGCCACTGCTCTTGTCTACTGTTGCTGTTTTCTCTGTTCGTGGTGTACCCATCCAAGAGGTGTTGCTGCACAAACTCCTGCTGCAGGCAGTTATGGGGGAGTGTTGAAATACATATGTAACTGCCTGTAGCTGTAGTGTAGTGTAGTTATTATAACCTATTGGTGGTGCACCTTCTTTGCATGCTTTGTTTGCTATTTGTACCTCGCTCAATAGTGAACTCATCCTCTTTGGCTAAACTCTCTCGACATGTTCCTCTCAAGTCCCCTCCTACCCCAAACTTTAGTCTAAACCTAATCTACTCTTTTAACAACTTCTTCGTCAAGGACGAGATTGACAAGGGCAAAGTCAAACTCACGTATGGCCTGATTGGCGACATGGCAGCGAATTTCCTAACCAAGAAGCTGTCACGTCATAAGTTCCAGCACTGCGCCAACCTATGCGGGATCTCGAAGAAATCTCACGTGGCTCACTTTCAAGAATGAAGGGGAGTGTTGGAATAACCGACAGCTTATTACGCATCCCAAAAGGTTCCCCCTTATCGAATTGCCTCTCAATGGAGCAGTAACTGTACCAGTATTGCACTAGCTCATAAAGAGCACGCGGCAGTCAGAAAGCCTAGCGAAGGTCAACAGTCACCGAAAGTCAAGTGTCACGACTGTTGACCACCCAGTAACCGTACTCGGAGGTTATACGCTGAAACATGGTAACTGTCAAGTAGAGCAATAGTCGCGGTTACTGTAGCAATACAATGCAGCTAATAAGGGAATGTACCCCTCGGAGTACATGGCTATATAGGTTCTACTATTTAAACTGCTTGTATCTCTATCTTGATCATTCTGTTCCCTTTCAATTATTATCAACAAGGTCATAACAAAGACTTCATTGTCTTCTCTAAACACTTGGCTAGCCTATCCTATCCACAAAGATCCTCCTCCCTTATATCAATAGTTCCTGGAGATGCCTTGCGAACACACCCTGCATCATCATGGCGAGATGACCGTTGTAGTTCGGAGCGTCAATTGTGGGAAAGAAGAATACATGTAATGATCAGTGTGACTGCAGGGCCGCGGCCTTTACTAGCTATGCTAGCCAATAAGCATGAAAAAAGCATACTCCGAGGTGCCGCTTAAAATGGCTCACAACAATATGGACTCTGCATCGGAGCTTGAGCCGTGGGTGAACTTCTGGTAAGTAACAGGGGGAGAAAGACGTTGACGAAGAAGCTACAATGGGTGATCCTCAGCAGGAGACATGCGATGAGTTGGCTCACTACGATCCTAATAACCCTACTTACATGTTGAACGAATAGTACAATTATTTTTTAGCAGCATATGGTTGGACGAGTATGAAAGGGTAGGATGCTTATGGGTATGTATGAGAGAAATCTGTGGCATTTTGCATGGCACGGAAGGTGTATACTGTCAGAATGTAGCAACAGGAATGAATCAACTATGAATCAGTGTGGTACAAGTACTAACCCCAACAGGGTTGTACCCCATATTGGCTACCCCACTACAGCCTACACAGCACAATATTCTGACATATACCAGTGATATCATTTATGGATGTGCAATCTCTATAATAAGTGTTATATCTTGTATACCAAGTATTATCAATGCTTCAAATTGATAGCTATATGTAGAAATATCATTTAAATGAGAATTACCCCTTCAGTACTTGTCAAAATCTCAGTCACTAGACTATTGGGATAAAATGGCTTGTTTTTGTAGCGGGTAGGTGCGCCCATAACCCCCCAGGCGAATGTATCTGTAACCCTTCCCTAGGGTCATCGGGGATCCCCAGTGCAGATCTCTGATACCCCCCTACATTGGGAGGCACAGGATACGACACAACGGCGGCGGCGCCTGCATGTGCGTACACGAGGGATTCGATCTCAATACCTTTTACACTTTTGTCAGGATCCCAATCACTACACTACTCGGATAAAATGACTTGTTTGTGGAGCGTGTAAGGGAACGTTCCTGTGGAGACACTTGTGTCTCAATCCCCTTTTTCCCGAGTCGCGCCTGTAAATTTGCCGAATGTTATGTCACAAACAACCAGTGTATCTCGACTCTGGGCGACAAATGTGCATAGCCAGTTGAGCGCTTTCTATTGGTGGCGACCAATTGGTTCGGGCCACCTCCCCCATTTCCCGCCGGGCATCCCAACCTAAAAAGGACGGAGTGGAGCGGGAGAGTGGTGTCAGCGTGGTCGAAACGGTGTGCTGGAAGTCGGGCAGGGATGTGACCTCACGGTCGCATCCACCAGTCATCTGTCTGCCCGGGCAGAGCGGTCTCCCGTTCCCGCGCAAAGTTTGTTGATTTCGGGAGTCCAGGTGCATGCGGTACGGTGTGACATTTCGACACGCGTGCGATTCTCGGGGTGTGACGGGGCCTCGTGTAACTCGTCCGCGACACCCCCGCAATTCCCGCCAACCAATGTAAAATACAGTGTGGTTCGCATTTGTGCGGTCCGCGTTTGTGACACATGCCGTTATATGCTGTTTTTCAGTGTCACAAAGGGATTGAGACACAAGTGTCTCCACAGGAACGTTCCCTAAGTGCGCCCAAAACCCTCCAGACAAACTTGCCTGTAACCCTTGCATAGGGTGATCCCCATTGCAGGTCTCTGAGAGTACTTGCTTTCCGTTGTATGAATTGCAAACATAGAGAATGATTTTATAGACGTCTAGCTCAAACGGGCGGGGATCGTTGGCGTCACCCACTAAAATCGAATTGTTTCTAAACCAGGAGGGCGGGAATGTTACGGGTGTCAGCTGGTTTCTAGTTCTGAGGTCCAAATCTCGCTCCCTACGTTGATCCACCTCGAGTAGCTCGAATGCAGCAGGCGATCTCGGGGGGGAGCGGTCACTTTAGTCGTGCATTTCCAAGGTCCTTCGCTTGGAAGGGTCTGTACTAGTTGCGAGTCCATGGCGTTCCTTCTTGGTTCCCCGTTTTCTTGTTGACGTAAAATTCTACGAGTAGTTTAGGGTGTAGGTTAACGATTTTGAATGTGATCGGCTCCTTTGCGAGAACAATGGCTGTCGAGGTACGCTTCATTTCTCTTACGTGAAGGATCTGATAGCAGAGCGAATCCTGAGCTTCGTTTTCGTTTTTATGCAGGATAAGACTCAACAGGGCAGGGGGTCGACTAGCTGGTTAACTCTGGGGTTGATAGCATCGTGGTACATATGCAATATCGGCGTTCTGCTGCTGAACAAGTTTCTACTCAGCAATTATGGCTACAAGTACCCTATCTTCTTGACAATGTGTCACATGGCTGCATGCTCACTCTTCAGCTACATAGCGATTGCATGGATGAAGCTTGTACCGTTGCAGGTGGGTGAGCTCCTGGGCCAGCAAATGCATGGAGTAGTGAGGCAGTTGATCTTGATGACTTCGTCATGGTAGCCACGTATGTTAGGGTTCACTATGCTTGAGTACCCACCTCATCCCCAGGGTCTTGACAATTCCCGTACGTTCTTGGCTTGCAGGCAATAAGGTCAAGGTCGCAATTCCTCAAAATTGCAGCTCTGAGTGCCATATTCTGCTTCTCGGTGGTCAGTGGGAACATATCGCTGAAATACCTCCCAGTGTCCTTCAATCAAGCGATTGGGGCTACAACTCCGTTTTTCACCGCTTTCTTTGCGTACATTATGACTTTTAAACGGGAGGCTTGGGTGACTTATGCTGCCTTGATACCAGTGGTCATGGGAGTTGTCATTGCCAGTGGGGTGAGTGAATCCTCTTATCGAGCTAGCTTCCTTGCACTCTAGAAATGATCACGAGACTTATGTCTCTTCTCCTTCTTGTTCTTTCAGAGTGAGCCGAGCTTTCATCTATATGGGTTCATTATTTGCATCGCAGCTACCGCAGCTAGAGCCTTGAAGACAGTGGTGCAGGGCTTGCTCCTGCAGTCTGATGGGTAAGTTCTTTTTTGTTTCTTCCTCAGCATTTTACTCTACACATTCTGATTATGTTTGAACATGACCGCAGGGAAAAGCTGAACTCCATGAACCTTCTGCTCTACATGGCTCCGATAGCTGTGGTTCTGCTGGTGCCAGCCACTTTAATCATGGAGGACAATGTGCTTGGCATTACAATCAAGCAAGCTAAGGAAGATTGGGGAATCCTTCCTTTGCTGGCTATCAACTCGGCAACAGCGTACTTTGTGAATCTCACCAATTTCTTGGTCACCAAGTACACAAGCCCTTTGACACTGCAGGTAAGTTCAGTCATGCCGTCTGCCCACCTTATGGCAGCTTCTTCTGATCAGGTTTAGCTCCTCCCTAACGCTTATTGTCATTCTTGCAGGTTCTTGGCAATGCGAAAGGCGCTGTTGCCGTGGTTGTATCCATCCTCCTCTTCAGAAATCCTGTGACGGTGGTGGGAATGATTGGCTACAGCATTACAGTCATTGGGGTTGTGCTGTACAGTGAAGCAAAGAAGCGCAGTAGCAAGCAAAGCGAAACATGAGTGTTTCGATGTCTACCCTAGGTACTAAACAATAGGTACCGAAGTAGTTGCTGTGGGAGATGCAGATGCTATTTTCTAGATTTTTTTTCCCTTCAGTGCACGCTGTACTGTAAAGATGGAATCTCATAGTGAACTTCCTATGGTACCGAAGACTTCTGTTAAAACCCTTTAAGGACGTATGGTATTTGAGAAAGTCAAGAAAAGCTCATGAAGTTTTTGCTGTTCAGCTGCAAGCTGAATCCAGCTGCTATTTACCTTGGCCACTCCTTCCTCAATGGCATCAACTTCCGATTCTTCCTTGGCAATCCTTCTCGCTACATCCTGCAAGCACCAACAGCGTAGGAGAGAAGGGCAGGTAAGGGAGGGGATTAGCGTAGAGATTGCAGAAGATTGCATGCAACTATGCATAGTGGCCCCGGACCTGCAATTGCTTCAGTGCACGCTCAACCACAAGCTTCTGCTGAGCGATTTGTTTCTCCAGAAACTCCTCATGCTGCTGACGTGCTGTCTTGAGATCCCCCAGACGCATTTTTGCTTCCTCGAGCGCAGTTTGGCTTGCTTCAAGATCCACCACGGCCTGCCTACGTGCTTCTTCCAAGTTGCAATGTGCTTGCCTTGCCTCCAAGGCTGCTTCTCCTGCTGTTGTCACTGCTGCATTCGCCTGAAAGAAGAAAGAAAAAGGGTGAGGAGGTTTATGGAGAAGTGTACGTGATCTGGTTAGCCTTAGTCGGGTTTGATGGAAGAAGGTAAATAAGAAAGAACTCTCATTATTTATACCATCACAGTCGACGGATCTTCGCTTCACTTACCTTCAGTTGTCTCTGCTGCGCCACAAGCAGTCGAGCCATCTCCTCCTCCTCCGCATGCACCAAGCTCCCCATCACTGCATCCACTGCTGCCACCATCCACCGCTGCTCCCATGTCATCTTACCCTTCTCTTCCAATAAGCATAGCTGCCTGCCTTCCTCCTTCTCCAACTTTCCTGTCCCACCATCTTGTTTTCGATTCTCATCCTCGATTGCAATTTTGTCAATGTGACTCGAAACGACTGCACCTTTATTTTCCACGGCGCCAGACTCCTCCCCATCTGTTTTCACTCTCACATCCCTTTCTCCGGGACCTTCTTGTGGTTCCAGCGATGCGGATTTTTCCGCCTCATTGTCGGTCCTCTTTCCCGGTACAACCCTGACTCTACCTCCTCGCGCATCGTTAGCTTCTACGTCACCCTGCTCGCTTCCTTCATCAACTGATTTTTTCGCTCTTTTAAACGGTGGAACCAATTCCCCTCTCTCTATCCGCGATACAAGCCCTGCCACGATCCCTTCCGAAGCACCACTCTTGGCTTCCAATGGTGACAGTCCGCACTGGCTACTATTTCCGGCTAAGTCCCGATCATTAGCAGCATGGGAGGAATCGCGTGGTGGAAGGTTGCATTGTGATGATTGCGCACACCGCTTGCGCGAAATCGGCTGGCGTATTTCTGTGTTGTCAGCCATGATCCAAGGGTCCTGCACTGGGGTAATTGAGGAGTGGAAGATCAATCGCATTCATATTCTTGCCGGTATACCGCACCTCGATAAAACTACAGTACACGAAACATTTAGAGGGCAGCGGGCATCTTACAGGGAGGTACACTTTCTGAGCTTTTAAGCCTTAGTCCTATTTGTACAACAGATATTTGGTTTAATCAGCAAAGAATGTTACACGATGGTACCTTGCAGACCATAGAGGGACCAGGAAAGGCAATGAAGGGCAACCAGTTGAAAGTATACACCTAACCATCCTATATTGATTTCAGTCTACAACTTCACCTCCTAGAAGAGCAACCTCCATTGTTAACGTCAATTGACGAGCTTCAAGCTTACGCTGCACAGAACCCATTCCCCGCCTAAGCCAGCTTGACTGGGCCAGGAACAGGCGGCTTATCCACAACAGCGCCCACACTAGAAACGAAGTCTTCACTGTAGTTGGCCCACCCCTCCCTCTGCTTCTTATCCGCCTCCACCTCCTCAAAGCTCTTGGCGTTTTCCTTGGCGTGTACCTCTGCCAGGCTGGCATAGCTCTCTGCTGACTTGGCAATGAATGCCCTCTCGGCTGCTGTCAGCGTGCGGAAGAATTTGGCTGGCGACCCTGCCCAGATCTGAGCGGGTGCAGGAGGGAGGGAGGTGTGGAGGGACGGGTGGAGGGAGGGGCGGATGGGGTTATGTAGCAGTTAAAAAAAAAAAAAAAAAAAAATTGTGAAAGCAGGAAACTACGCAAGGATTTGAGGGGAAAAAAGGTGTCATGCAGGAATAACATCCACGTGGCCCCACCTTCCGCCTGACGGGCCCTCCCAGGTGCGTTGAGGGTGCATGCATTCACCACGGCAGCAAGAAGCGTATCCCCCCTGGCCTAAGGCACATAACTCTTTTCACGACAAGAGCGCAGGCAGCCACCATGGCACCCGACTCCACCACCCCGCACCACACCTAGCCGCATGACCCACTTGGCCCGGCTGAGGGTGCATGGTCACCTGGCCTGAAGGAATGCGCGTGTTCTAAACCACGAGGGACACAGCAGCCACCATGGCTCCCAACTCCACCACCACCCCACCTGGGCTTTCCACCCTCATCAGAAAGCAAGAGGAGCACGCACGTGGCCTGCCCACCGTAGCTGCCCCGAAGGAATGCGCGTGTTCTGCACGACCAGCGCGCCAGCAGCCACCATGGCACATGACTCCACCACCACCCACATAGTCGCACCACCCACGTGGACCCACCACCGACCTAAGTTGAGATGCATGAGTCCACCAAGAGAGCAAGAGGATACCCACCTGCCCTGATGGAATATGCGTGTTCTGCACAACCAGCGCGCCAGCAGCCATCATGGCCCCCGACTCCACCACCACCCACATAGTCGCACCACCCACGTGGACCCACCACCGACCTAAGTTGAGATGCATGAGTCCACCAAGAGAGCAAGAGGATACCCACCTGCCCTGATGGAATATGCGTGTTCTGCACAACCAGCGCGCCAGCAGCCATCATGGCCCCCGACTCCACCACCACCCCACCTGAGCTGCAGGTGCATGAGTCCACCAAGATAGCAAGAGGATACCCACGTGGGGTGGCCCGCCCACCATACCTGTCCCGAAGGAATGCGCGTGTTCTGCACGACAAGGGCGCCAGCGGCCACCATGGCCCCCGACTCCACCACCACCCCATCCAGCAGCGTTGCTCCGATGCCCACAAACGCCTCGTCCTCCACCGTGCATGCATGCAGTATTGCGTTGTGACCTGGGGGGATAAGAGGGGGGAGAGGACGGATAAAGGGTGAGAGAAAGGGAGCAGCGTGGCTCCGATGCCCACAAAAGCCTTGTCCTCCACCGTGTACGCATGCAGTATCGCGTTGTGAACTGGTCGGGGCGATGCGGAGGAGGGAACTTGAGGTGGGTGCTATGCTATGCATGTACGCAGCAATACAACGTGCAATGCTCAACAGCATCTCCAATACCCGCACCGAGCTAGCGGAAGTATGCCTGGGTAACAGGCCCAGCAGGGAGCAGCAGCAGCTCACCGACGGTGACGCGCGAGCCAATGATGGTGGGGAGGATCTTGCCGGCCAGGTTGGTCTTTGCCACGTGCACGATGCAGCCGTCCTGAATGTTGGTGTCCGCGCCCACGCGGATGCTGTTCACGTCGCCTGCACGACAGGCAAACACGGAGAGCACAAAGCGAGGGGGCATGCGGGGGCGTGTGGAGGGGAGATGATGAGCGGGGAAAGGGGGGAACACACAAGATGCAGCGGTCCTGAATGTTGGTGTCCGCTCCCACGTGGATGCTATTCACGTCGTCTGCCAGGGGAGGGGGGATGGGGATGGGGAGGGGTGGGGTGAATGGGGAATGGGGGGTGAGAAATTTGCAAGATGCAGCAGCCGTCCTGAATGTTGGTGTCCGCTCCCATGCGATTCGACCATCCGGTACAGCCACCCACTGCAAGGTGGGTAATTCACCCAGAAGGAGCGGCGAGGAGGGGATTTTTATACGCCTCAAAACACCCCCCTGGTTCTCCCTCCCCCTCTTCCCCCCCTTTCTCCCCTCCGCACAGACAGCCACTGCGGGGTGGGGTGCTTGGGAGGAGAAGCGGAGAGGGATAGCAGATGCGCCTCGATATGTTAAGACATCCCAGCGAGGGATAGCAGATGCGCGTCGATATGTTCAGACATCCCAGCGAGGGATAGCAGATGCGCCTCGATATGTTCAGACATCCCAGCGAGGGATAGCAGATGCGCGTCGAGAATCGGCCAGCCCACAGCAGTGACCCACTGTCTGCAAGGTGGGGCAATTGGGACGAGCGGCGGAGAGGGGCGCAGGGCGGCACACGAGGAGGAGGCGCGGCGGTGAGAAGATGGCGGGACGACGCGGGAGGTGTGGAGGAACGGCATGGGGCAGACGGGTGTGAGAGGGGGGCATGGTAGACAGGAGGTGTGGCAGGGGGGAGGTATGGAAAGGGGAAAGTATGGTAAGGGGGGGTTGTGGAAAGGTGCAGGTACGGCGTACGGAGGGTATGGTAAGGGGGTGGTATGGTAAACGAAAAATATGGTACCTCCCCTAAAAGTAAGGAGAGATTATGGTAGGGGAAGGTATAAAAAGGGAAGGAGTTACCTCTAAGAATGGCGTTGTACCACACAGACGATCGCTGCCCGATCTGCACGTCGCCAATCACCGCCGCGCTCGGCGCCACGAAGGCGTTTGCGGGCACCTCGGGCAGCTTGTCGAAAAGATTCATGATGGTGCGATGCCGCGAGACTGCGGCGCGCGATAACGACGGAAGCGAGGATAAAACCGGGGGAACACGGGAAAACAAGGGGGCGAATTCGAAGGGGTGGGGTGGGGAAAAACAGGGAGGCATGGTAAGTAGGAAGGGGGAAGGGAGGTTGAGAAAAAGGGGCGGTGACGGTGGTCGCTAGTGCAGGAGAGGATTCAACACGGCCAGGACTATGCACATGGCCATGGGCATGGTTGTGGACAGGGAATGGAAATGGAGACAGAATGGGGAACGACAGGATCGGACGACGATCAAAGCGGTCGATGCTTCCCTTGACCAGGCGACACTGAGGCGCCCCTTTCAGCACCCAAACGTTTCCGCCTGCAACGGCTCTGGCGCGCGCTAGAACTCATTCGGTGAAATGGTAGCCGTTGGATCGACAGAATCAACGGTCCTAGTCTGGTAAGGCACGATCGACTGGTCATCCTAATCCCTGCGCCATCTCGACCGTTAATCATCCCGCAACCCTAATCCAAAGCGCTCCACGGTTCTATCCTTCTCCGAAACGCCGTAGCGCCTGGATCGCAACCACCGAGACACGAAGAAGAGCTTTCTAAAGCACGCGAGGCAGATCGGCGCCGTGACTCACGCTCTTCATGGAAGGCGTATTTGCCCTGCAGCCGGCACCCGAGTCGGTCGAGCGCTTGCCCCGTCTCGCGCACCCAGAAGCCCACATTGTACAGCGCCCTGCCGATGCCGCTCATGCTGGCGGGCCCGCGATGATCGCAGCGTGATGAGCGGAGCGGTGAGGGTCGGAATGGCGGTGATCGGCGGGTGAAGTGGCGGAGAGAGGATGGATGGAGGAAGGGAACTGTGGTGGGATGTAAACGTGTCTAATAAATTAAACGTTAATATTAAGCAAGCGTTCATGCCGGAGTGGTTAACGGGACAGACTTGAAATCTGTTGGGCTCCGCCCTCGCAGGTTCGAATCCTGCTGAACGCGAAGCATGTTGAGGGTAGATAATTATCGGTAAGGTTTATGCCGCCCTGAGCTGCCAGGGCACAGCAGCAGAAATTCTTCTCTTTGCCAGTGGAACTGGACTGGAGTCTGGATGTCCCAAAAGGTTGTTTGTGATGCTTCAGCCTGGAGTACAGGGCCCGGGACATGGCCATTCTTTTTCACTCACAGCAACTTCCTGGTGGTATTGCTTGCAAACTATTTCTATAATTCACTTTTCCACAAAACAATAACAAATCTCAATCTGCACTTCTAGCAGTCTACTTGGCAGAAGCTAGAATCTTATCGTCCACCTCAAACTTGGCGTCCTTCTTGTCCCTCCCAGCCGCCACATAGTCAATGTACCGCTGGTTCAGAACAGTCTGCAGATCCGTGAAGCTCTTAAAGCCCAGCCTCTCCCGCGCATTGCGAGGCTCCGAATAGAAGTGCTGCGAACACAAGGAGGAAGAGCGCAGAAGGGATAAGGAGACACGTGCCAGGAAGTCCAGATTCTATTACTAGTAGAACCACCTCAACAGCTCACCAGGTTTCCTTCAATGATTGGATTCAGCTCACCATGCCTCACACAAGTTAGTGAATACAACCAAGTCCTCCGAGTCTCACCATGTTCCGGAAGGGGAAAGCCTTCTTGGCATCGACCCCAGCGGCCTTGGGATCATAGTGCACGATCTTGAGCGATGAGGCGCGGCCAGCAGCGTTGGCGCACATGCGAGCCAGCCCGTCGAATGTCACCGCTCTGCCACCCACTGCATTGAAGATCTGACCCTTGGCGTCCTGCAGGACATATGGAAAGGAAAAGGGTGAAGAGACGGCGGGTGAGGGGCATGGGTAGAGGTATGGTGCTGGTGGGCAAGGCAACAGCCTCTAGGCTGTAGCTTCACCAGGGAGCAGCACTTGCCACCATTGGAATATGATCACCAAATCTTTCCCATGGTGCATGCAACCATGCGTCCCCATGCTGCCACTCATCCCTCCAGTTCCCTCAAGGATCATTCAGGGTTTAGGGTGAAGAGGGCAGGGTAAGGTGGGTTCGTAAAGCATGTGGTGGTGACAACCTGAGGGGGCGGGCGGACCTGCGGGTAGTCAATGGCGAGGGCAATCATGCGCGCTATGTCGTCCACATGCGCCACCACTGTCAGCTGGATGCCCGGGGATGGGATGGGCACTGGCCGCCCCCTCACGATGCCTGCTCAGCACATGCAGGTGCAGATGCGATGCCATGGGGAAGAGGAGGAGCTTTAGGTGCCTCATAAGTGGGCCCTGCACAATACTTGCTCATGCACAAGGACAAGCAGGTGCTTAAGGTAACCACTGTCCTGCTGCACCACAGTCATAGTGGACTAACCACTGGAGCAGTACCTGCTGCTGCCCCACCCCATGATGCACAGCAGGCACCTCCCTAACCAGCGCCACTCACGGTCAAAGAACCACTCCTCGCAGTCCTTGTTGTTGCCCGACCCTGTGATGTACTGCGGGCGGAACGCCGCCCATCCGTCGCCCCACGCCTTGCCCGCCAGGTACTTCTCCACCTGCGCGTGCCCCGAGCTCTCCTTCACCGCGTCCTGACGGGTGGGTGGGGTGGGGTGGAGTGGGGCGGAGTGGGGTGGGTGAGTTACAACAGCGTGTGGGTGGGATAAGCATGCTTGGATGGCGTGACATGAGTGCTTGCATAATTGCATGCTTTGCATGCTTGTATGTTTGTATGTGTATTCTCACTGTAATCTTGTACACCGCAATGGCGTCACGCACACTCACCCCTTCGACGTGAGGGGGCTTGGAGGAGGGTGTATAGATGCCCGCGCTGCTGACGAGGACAGCCAACCTTAAACCAAATCAAGATTCGAGTAAACCCTTTTACTGACTCACAGTGCTGTACACTCATGCGCTCACCCCTTCGACGTGCGGGGTCTCGGAGGAGGGCGTGTAGATGCCCGCGCTGCTGATGAACAGGAACTGCCGCACGCCCGCCGCGCTCGCCCAGTCCGCCACGGGCCTGGCGAGGAGGGGGGGAGGGGGGGGTGGGGGGAGGGGAAGGGAGCAGGGGGAGAAGGGAGAAAGAAAGATACGGGGTCGAGCGCATGCAGAGCAGTAATCACTTCGCAATGACATACATGTTAGGGGGTCGCTGAGCGGCTCAAGGACAAGGGATGGGGTGGGGGCATGGCATGGGGAACAGAGATTGGGGCCAAAAAAAAGAGGGCTTGCAGGAAAGGTTGCCCTCGATTTCCGCAGAATCCATTCATAGACTGCTTAGAAAACTTCCGTTTCCACATGCGGCTTCACCCTTTAAGATTCTGTCAAAGTATTCTGATATCCACAGCACTGCCATTCTTGTTTGACATCCCACTTCTCTCCGATAGTATTCACCGCTCGAGCATTCGACAATGCGAGTAAAACCCGATACAGTTAGCTCCCGCTAAGAAACGCACACTTCCCAAGGCTTGTTTCGAGTCGACTGAAACGTAACCGCCATCCGTGCGAGGCCACGCCCTTGACGAGGTCCTTGCGTCCCTGATAGCGAGCCCAGTTCTGAAGGTGTCTGCGTGATGATGATCAATACATTGTCTCTAAAGTCACCCCCCGCTATTGTCACTCACTTGACGGTGTCGAGGTCCTTGCCGTTGTTGTCCAGCACCACGTCGAAGCCCCCGGTCGCGCCGAACACGGCGGACAGCCGTGCCGGGTCGCCCCACTCCGTGCGCACGCCCTCCGCGCGCAGCTCCTGTGAAGGGACGCGCGGGGGAGGAAGAAAGGGGAAAGGAATTGGGGGAAGGGAGGACAGGGGCACAGGGAAGGGGGGGGGAAACGGGGAAACGGACAATTGGGAAGGGGAGAAGGTATGGGGAAGCGGAGGGGTAAAAGGGAGAGTGAGAGCCGTGTGGCGGGAATAAATGAGCCACGCGTATTGTAAACGGTGTTAGTCCCGACCGTCCCGAATGCGTCTCCTTCGCGGAATGGCGGAAAGTTTGCGAGCTCTGCCTATTGCGGTGTGATACGCGAGCGTATCCCTGCAAATAACCCACCGAGAAGCGCGAGAATGGCTGCTTCTTCATCTTGTCGGAGTTCCGGTCGCCAACGGTCATGATCGTCACCGAGTGGCCGGCAGTCGCTAACTGACGGGCTAGCGCGAAGCCAATCACCGCGTGGCCTCCGCCGTTAGTGTTGACGATCAGGACCTTGCGCCGCGCCACGCTGGCGTCGACACGAACAGCGCCGCGAGACACGGCGCGGCTTGCCCCGGGATTCCCGCGTGAGTGCGCTACGGGTGTGGAGAAGAGCTCTTTGCCGGAGCACGCAGCGGCAGCGGCGGCGGCGGAAGCGGAGAGAGATCCGGCAAGGCGAGCGCTTCTGCTGCTCACGGGAGCCGCAGAAACCGCCGCAGATGCCGCTGGTCGAGAAGCGGCATTGGTGCAAGCAGCGAAGGCGATAGTCGCCTTAGGGCAAGCTAGCGTAGCCATGGCTGCTTGACGGTGGCGGCAATCACTCCAAACGAATCAGGAGTGACTATGCTAGCCAAGCGATCAGTGGAGGGGAATGGGATGGCGGTCGGTGGCTATGCTGGCTGGTCGCTCCCACTACTATGGGCTGCAGAAGTGTGAAGCTAGTACAGACCAGTCACTGGATTTAGTGTGAGCGAAGCGTGTGCTCTGTTGCTGGGGAAAAATAAGAGACTCAGAATGAACGGTCGAGTCGCGAAGATGCGACTCTTGATAAATGCCACGCAAGGTGTGAACAGTTGTGTTGAAAGATGAGATTGGTATCGGGAGAGTGTATCTGGTACGCGAAGTGGACCAGCATCTGGGTGACGTGGTGGCACGAAGACTTGAGCTGACGCCAGATTTGCCAGGTGTGATGGAAAAGTGATTCGATTCTCGTCTCCTCACTTCAATTGAGACAATTGAAGGGGAACGGTGTATTAACGCGGAAGTACAATGAATACTTCTTGGAACATATTCTACAGTTTTCATCCCTCACTCAGTTGAATCTGCAGTCCAAGCTAGCAAGTGTGAAGGATGAACAAGCTCCGACCCAAATGATGTCTCTTTGCCTGGCTTGGTGGCCTTAGCTCGTAAAGCCCCTCTATCAGACATGCATTGTACTTGCAAGCATGCCCTTGGAAAAGGGTTCTGCTGTGTGTATAGACCCTGCACTTATCCTAGATCTTATCAAGAGCCTGCATGACATCAGCAATGATGTCACTGCTGTCCTCAATCCCCGCACTGAACCTGACCAGGTTGTCCTTGATGCCCAGCCTTGCCCTCTCCTCTGGCCCATAGTCCCTGCAACCGTGTTGCAGCCAGCCATAGACCCGGGAGGTGAGTAGATTGGTTGGTGGGAGGGGAGAGAGAGGTGAGGAAGGGGGGTTGGGGGGTTTGTGTCTTAAAAGGTGAAACTACAAGCTGGGAATGGCGAGGTACAGTGTCAAGAGAGCATAGGAGCAGGGGACGTGGGGGTATACCAGTAGGAGATGATGGTGGGCTGCTCGACGAGGGACTCCACGCCGCCCAGCGAGGGGGCAATGTATGGAATGTCGAGGGCATCAATGAAGCGTGACGTGCGCTCCAGATCCCCGTCCACCTGCCATTCCACCCCACACCATGCCACCATGCCACCATGAATGGTAGGTATTTGCGTGATGAGGGCAACGCGAGAGACAGGGGAACGAGCCGCCACCCTGAACCCTGCGCCACTATCCTCTCCATGCCTCCCCAGACCCTGCTAAACCACTCTCCATCCACTCGCATGGAAACTAATGACGCCCACACACCTGGCGAACACCGGCTGCTACCCTTCTAGTGACGTACTTGCTGCACTCCCTTCTCCCCAAGCCACACAACTGCCCCTTAACTCGCCCCATCAGCCCCATGCGCACTGTGCCTCACCTCAAAGCCGACAACACCCCCATAGCCGCCATGCACCTGCTGCACCCCCCCTTTTACTTGCAGCTCGCCATCACCCCAGCCCCAATCCTCACCCTTCCCTTCCCCTCCACCAACTCCTCGCTCACCTCAAAGCTGACAACGCCCCCATAGCCGCCGTGCATCTGTTCCAGAGCGATTTGGTGCTCAGGGTGAGACGGCAGGCCTGGGTAGTGCACCCGCACCACCTGGGGGGTTTGAAGAGGACAAACGGGGAAGTGGGGGGAAGAAGGGGAGATGATGCAATGCTAGGAGGGTGGGGGGGGGGGGAGGCGCACAGGAATTGTAAAAGCAGCATGAGCTGGGTGATGTGTGAGTGGGGAAAGGGGGGGAGGGAGGAGGGGCAGGAGACGATAAGGCTGGGCGAGGAGGGAGCGGCGCACCTTTGGAATGGGTTTGCAGCAGTGGCACCCCAACAAGTGGGAGGGAGAGTGGCGTACCTTGGGGTGCGTGGAGAATGCGAGGGCGAACTCCATGGTGGGGAGAGATATGGCACACAGAGGGCACACAGAGGGCACACAGAGGGCACTGATAAGGCTGGCGGGAAGGGAGCAGTGCTGCAGCGCACCTTGGGGTGGTTGGAGAGCGCGAGGGCGAGCTCCATGGCAGTCTCGTTCTGCCGCCGCACCCTGAGAGCCAGGGTCTTAAGGCCACGCAGTATGAGGTAGGACGCGTGCTGCGAAGAGGGCACATAGGTGGCGAGGGCGGACAGAGAGGGAGGGGTGATGCTCAGTCGTGGGCATGGAAGACACACGATGTTGGGGGGCTCGGGATGAGAAATGATGCTTGCTTGGGGGGATTACTAGGGGCGACAGGCAGAGAGTGATGTGCAGGGGCACGCACTAAGGTAGCAAAGGCAGGGCGCGGTGCAGAGTGCGGAGTGCAGAGTGCGGAGTGCAGAGTGCGGAGTGCAGAGTGCGGAGTGCAGAGTGCGGAGTGCAGAGTGCGGAGTGCGGAGTGCGGAGTGCGGAGTGCGGAGTGCGGAGTGCAGAGTGCAGAGTGCGGAGTGCGGAGTGCAGAGTGCAGAGTGCGGAGTGCAGAGTGCATGCATAGTGACTCACCGGGTCAACGACTCCCCCCAGCACATTGTGCAGCGCTCGGACCTTCTGCACCAGCTCCGCCTTGCCACTTATGGTCCCCGCCAACACCTGTGCCATGCAGCACCACATTGGCATGGCATGGCATGGCATGGCATGGCATGGCATGAGATGGGGAGGGATGGGATGGCATGGGATTGCAGGCGTTGAAAGGAAAAACGAGTATGAGATTTGTTGAAGCGTTGTGGTGAGTTCAGACTGGAATCTGAATGCGTTCGTTGGTGCATGGACCGCAGGGGCGACCATGCGGGACGGAAGTGGTGGGGCGGAAGTGGGGGGGCAAAAAAGGGGTGGTGGATGATGAGGGGGGGGGAGCGGTAGGCAAAGAACAGCGGATAGTGTAAAGAACAGCGGATAGTGTAAAGAACAGCGGATAGTGTAAAGAACAGCGGATAGTGTAAAGAACAGCGGATAGTGTAAGGAGCTCACGTCATTGTGCCCGCAAGCTACTTGGTGCCCGAGTGCAGCACGACATCCGCCCCCAGAGGCAGCACGTGCTGGTTGATGGGCGTGGCGAACGTGCCGTCTAAGCACACCAGCCAGCAAGCCAGCACACAAGCACGCCAGCATACAAGCACACAGGCACGCCCCTGCCATCACACTCACGTCGTTGTGCCCTGCGAGGTACTTGGTGCCGGAGTGCAGCACGAGGTCGGCGCCCAGAGGCAGCACGTGCTGGTTGATGGGCGTGGCGAACGTGCCGTCTATGCACACCAGCGCGCCCCTCGCGTGGCACATCCCGCTCACCAGCGGCACGTCGATGCACCTCAGGTAGGGGTTCGTTGGGGACTCCGAGAAGAACAGCGACACCTGGCGGGGGAGGAAGAGAAGAAGGGCGGAGAGGGGAAAGGGGCGGGGAGAGGAGAGGGGCGGGAACGGGGAGAGGGGCGGGAATGGGGAGGGGAGCGGGGATAGGAAGAGGGGTGGGGGAGTGCAGTGGGAGCAGGGATGAGAGACGGCAGCCCGGAAAGACTAGAATAAGAGGAGCCTGGGTTCAGCGGGAAGAGGAAACTGCGTGAGATCAAAGCGTTAAATGTTTCCAAACAGCTCCATCTTGGGTGCCTTCCCGAAATGTGTGGGTTCAGTGTGAACTTGTCTTCACTTCGCTTCAATGATTTCTCACCTCTCAATTGCAACGCGTGTACGATTTCCGGAAAATATCAAGCCAATGAGAGATCTCTAACCATGATGTGGTTGTGAAGGTGATAGTGCTTTGGTCATGCTAATCACCACACCTCTAATAATGTTTATGGCTGAATTAAGGGTGACGAATCATGGTTCATGGTCGAGGATCATGCATGGGTGCGCACCTCGTTTTCATCCAGAGCCTTCTCCAGTGCGCCCATGTCAGCAGGGTCGATCACAGTCGTCTGAAATGGAGAGAAACGAAGGGGAGGGGGGGATGAGATGGTGCGGGGTGGAGGGCGAGAAACGAAGGAGCGCGAGAGGGCGAGACGGGGTGGAGGAGAGACATCACGAAGGGAAAGGTTGACGGAAGCAGAAGGGGGAAACCGGGAGGTCAAGGGAGCCGAACGGAAACGAGGCTCGAGTGGAATTGGAAATGATGCAGTGCACAGCATCGCAAAAAATCCGCAAACCATTACCGCTCCCCACCCCTCTTCCCTCCCCCCTCTCGCTTCTCTTTCTCACCGAACCCTCTCGCATCTCCCCCTCTCCCAAAGCGGAACTCACGGTGATGCCCATTTTGGGCAGCATGGTCTGGATGAACTGGCGCGTGCGGCGGTAGCAGTCGGTGGTGGTGACGATGTGCCCGCCCGCCGGCACGAGCGCCAGCAGCATCGTTGTCGCCGCGCACATGCCCGACGACGACAGCAGCGTCGCCTCCGCCTGCTCCAGCTCGCTGTGGGGCGGAACGGGGGGCACGGGGCGAGGACAGATGTTGGAACGAGAGCGAGTAAACGGGATTCGGGGAGGGGTTGAGAAGCGAGTGCGTAGTCGGAATGGTCCGCGCGCGTAACTCGGTACCTTACAGGAGGGTAGATTACCGGTGATAAGGAGGGACATTTCGCCATTATGATTTCGTTTGCTAATTTAAAAGGTTGGCACGAGACACTGACGCAGGAGCGTGGAGCGAGAATCAGCCAACGGAGGTTCGTGCTGACCTGATCTTGCGCTCCACGGTGTCCGTTGTCGGGTTGCCGTACCGCCCATACTCGAAGCTCGTCTTCCTTCCCTCCTGCAGCAACAGAATCATGACGGAGATTGACGGAGATGTGAATCACAAGTCATCGGAGTTGAATCGCGTTCTGTCAATACCGTTTTACATACGCTCTCTCTACACTTTCTAATAACATACAAATCAGAATCACACGCGAAGTACCTAAAAGCCGGAGGCAACTATACCTTAGACAGGATGCGACATGACAAATGTGACAAATGTGACGAGCGCGGGAAATGCAGGGGAGGCGAGAGCACGTACGACGAACTCGATGAGGTCGGCGGTATCCTTGAAGAAGTAGGTAGACGTCTGCACGATGGGCGTCGTCAGCGAGTCCACCACCAGCGGACGTCCTGGTCGCTCCCCTGCACGCACGGAATCGCGAACAAGAAGTAAATGCCTTTCAGTACAAGTTAAGATCTGACCAGCAATTGCAATGCAGCTGTTCAGCTGATTCTTTCGCCCTCCCAACTCCTTTTGCAAACGCGAGGTCGCGAAATAAGAGATCTAAGTTGTGAACGACACCACAATCCAGGAAAACTCACGAATCAAAGCGGTTATTCAAAAGGCATGTAGTTTTTGTACTGCATTTCTACCAGAAGAGCTTAGTGATCACCAGTGGCGAGCGCACCTGCATGGACGGCCTTGGTCGACAGCGACGACCTCGCCTCAACGGCATCCGAGCTCCCCATAGCTGCAGATGAGTCGGATTTTGCCGTCTGCGCGATCGGCGGAGGGTTAGCGTGCGTCGCGCATCCGTTGACTGACGTCGACCGGGCACCGACGGTTTGGTCCTTCGCCATCGACATCGGCGATCGATTTGGCGATGCAGAGGATGGAATCCGCGCAGCGCCTAAGCGGAACGTTCGTCTCCGTACGGGTTTGAAGACGAAGCTGTTGCTGTCTAGATGTTGGTTCGAATAATGAGCGACACTCCCCAGACTGCTAGATTCAGCAACGGTTGAGATTGTCCTAGACGAAATGCTAACAGCGGAGGCCATTGACTAAAGCACTACGTAGATTCGTTTTTTTTAGCTTTATAGGGCAGGGGAAGCGAAGCAAATACAGGCCCAATCGAAGCGCGTTGGTCAATCGGAGCCCCAAGAGAATGGGCGATGGTTTATCTCGACCATGCCGTCGCCACCATAGCGCCGTAATTAATTACCGACCACTGCTAGCGATAATGGCGGCGGGGACAACGATAGATCAATACTTGACTCAGCAGGAACGCAAGGAAGGCTTACAGATCAAGCACGCAAGAACAGAACGAGGGAATCTCGGGAACAGAATAGGAGATACCATCAAGGCAAAGATGCTGATTTCAAGACTCAACTAAGACAGGCTCAACGAAGCCCTGGACTGGAGCCAGGGTGAGGTGAGAGCAGGAGGGAGAGGATGATGACGACGGATGGAGCTCCCACGAAACAGGGCTGTGCTGTCGGATGGCTGGGATTCCACGTAAAGCCGATATGAGTTGCCGAACTTGCTGCTGAAAAAAATCGAGCGGTTGTCTGCTCCTTGAATTTTATCAAGATTGTTTGCTGCTGACAGATACAAGCTATACACGTGGCTGATGCAGCCCGTTCCGCCTTGTGGTTGGTTTGTCAGTGGGACAGGTTGGCGCAGTCGACGGAATAATTCAGAGGGGTGGTCCAGTAATAAAACAACCCCAGTATTGCAGCGCAGAAAACCCTTTCGTTTACTCAGTTTTTAATATTTTACCATATACTTGTACCGGTGTTTTTGTATCGAGTTAAGTCCCCTCGCACTTTCTTACGCCAGAATTGATGAGCGAATATATGCGATTGGTGAAGTGTTTTTGCTGAGATGTTGGCGACTCCAAAAGCCATGTGATGAAAAACAACCAATCCAGAAGCTCTTTCCGCTATGCGCATCCCGCAGTTGGCACTTACTTTCAGCCAATCAAAGCTGCTGACTTCGTGATACACAAGATGCCCAACCCCTGCACGCAAAATTGCCTCGCACGTTCCAGAAACCTTGCACACGAAGGTTTTTTCCCGGGCAGTTGCACCCACGTTACAAGCACGTCAACCAATACGAACCACAGAAACAGAAGAGACCGAAGTCAAACAGTCAACGGTGAGTTACAAAATTTTGCTATAAGCCCTTTTTGCCCGACGCGAATTGACGAAACCTCCACGAAATGCATGAATCACTTAAGCGCCCCCTTCACAAGGCAACCTTGGGTTAGTCAAACGGACATCGTGTGTAGCATCAGCTGCTGCTGCGCTGCGCACCTCAGACACAACATCACGTGGCACGCACGAGCATCCATTTTTCACAACTCCCGCCCCCACCTCCTCTCCCCCACCCCACTCCCCTTCTCCATCAAAGCCCCCCCCCCCCCCCCCCCCCCCCCCAAAACCTCATCGCCCCACGTTTGCGGCCATTCTGGAAAAAAAAAAGGGTTTATATGGCAACTTGTACAAGTTCTGTGCGAATCGGAAGCAAAAATCAGCGTTTCAAGCAACGCTGCGCTCGTGCAAGGCTTCAAAAAAAAAAAAAAAAATCCCCTCCCGCCCGAGCCGAGAACTTGGTGTGAACATGCAATTGCCCTTCCCCCGTCCACGCCAAAACCTGGCGCTAGCACAGCGGAGTAGGAATTGGGGGAGCGAGCGACATCTCTCCTTCATCTGTTCCTTTCCTGCTCTTTGGCTCTTGTCGTGCCATGCAAAACTTGACTTTTGTTGTTGTTAGCTAGCAAGCTACAGAAAACTGTCGAACGGATCGAGCGAGCCATGCGTAAGCGCCGCCAACCACTCTTTTCTGTTGTAGGACCTTTTGTCGTTCGCGAAGTAACGCGGTAGTTGTTCCGCGCCCCGTGAAATGATTCTTCGTTCAAATTTTAGATACTTTATAACATCAGTCATGTCGAGATCAGCCTCTCGTAGTCGAAGTCCCGCCGCCAATTGTTACTAACATAGCATTTAACAAGTTATTTCCGTCTCCGAAAACATCAGCTTCTTCTCTACGCAATCCTCCCTCCTCGCAGTACGATAGCCATAACGAACGCAGGCCCGTTCGAGTTTTCCTTGAGTCGGACTCAACAGCCCCCTCTTAATCAAGCAAACTAAATTACCTCGCAGTTACCCCCAGCAGGGAGAATTTTATTTCGGAGTGAAAAGCGAAAGCCAGCTTCGAGTGTCAGTGTGCTTAGCTCGCATAGCACCCCCTTGCCTCTTCCGTAGCACAATCTCCTCCCCTTTACACTGAAAACAATCAATGGCGGACAGCAAGGTGGCGCGCGTGGGCCTTCTGGACTTCAACACGTTCGCTCAGGCGGAGGGCATCGACCCCAAGGCGGAGGGGGTCGTCACGCAGAAGCCGCTTCCCCCGCAGGCGCGCCCGCAGCCCGATCAGCTCCTCCCCGCGCGCCCGCAGAGCAACGGCGCGCAGCGGGATGCAGAGAGGCGGCAGCAGCACCAGCCGCTGCTTGTGGAGACCCCCCCGTGCCGGTCGCCGTCAGACGCGTCAGTAGCGAACTCGTTCGAAGCGAGCGCGCCAGAAGCGAACTCGATCGAAGTAAACTCGTTAAAAGTACAAGAGAGAGCGGCCGGAACGGAGAAGAAGGCGGGGTGCTTTGAGATCGAGAGTGGCGACGAAAGCACGGACGGGGGAGGAGGGGCGAAGGGCGAGGGGAAACCGGCGTGGGAGATGGATATGTCAAAGGTGCGGTGCGGTGAGATGGTGTGAGTCATTGGTACGATTGGGGGTTTCGGGGTATGTTTGGGGGCGATGAAGTGTGGTTGGAAAGTAACGCGGGAGGGTAATGGGCACATGGAGAGGTCAATGCAATTACGCCATTTCCGGCATATCGCCTTGCTCTGCCATCCCCTTGCACGTGTAACTCACCCTTCCGACATGCCGTTCCGTTCCTTCCCATGACCCTTCAACTCCCCTTCCCCTTCCCCTTCCCCATTTCCCCCCGTTTCACGTCCTGTTCAACGGCAATGATGCGACTGCCACAACCCCACGTGTACTGTGCAGGTGCTCTGCACCAATCAGCTTGCAGCAGGTACCACCAGTCTTCTCTTTGCTGTACCCACCCCCATGGAGCACAATGTACGCTTACCTGTTATTTTTTTGGTACCCTATGCAGTCCCCCATGGAATGCATAGGCAAAACCACCTCTTCTTTCCCCCCTCCTGAACCCCCTTTCCCCACATTTCCCCTCTCACCCCCCGCTCGCCCGCTCCCTCCTCTCCCCATCTCTCCACCCCCCAAGGAGCGTTTGGGCGCGTGTACCACGGGCTGTACGGGCAGGAGGACGTGGCGGTGAAGCTGATCAGCGTGTCGCCCAACATCCCCCCTAAAGAGCTGGCGAGCATAGAGGCGGGCATCCTGCAGGAGATCAACGTGTGGCACACGCTCAAGCACCCCAACATCGTGCAGGTGCGCATGTGAGTGAGTGAGAGTGTAAGGGGGAAGGGGGGGGGGGGGGGGGGGGTCGTTGGTACTTCTGCACCCTAGCATCCCTTCTGGCACACGCTCAAGCACCCCAACATTGTGCACGTGCGCACTTGCATGTGTGAGAGTGTGAGTGTGTGGGGGGGGGGGAGGGAGGGGGGGTGGTTGAGGGTGAGTTGGTTGGTACTACTGCATCCCAACGTTCCCCCCCCCAAGGGGCTGGCGGGCATCCTGCAGGAAATCAGATCAGCGTCTGGCACGCGCTCTCCCACCCACCCCATCATCGTGCAGGCCTTTGAGAATTCTCAAAAGTCGCTTTTGAGAATTCTCATTTGAGAATTCTCAAAAGCGCCTGCAGGAGATCAGATCAGCGCGTGGCACACGCTCTCCCACCCACCCCATCATTGTGCAGGCGCGCTTGTTAGAGTGGGAACGTGTGACGAGTGTGTGCTAGTAAGTGTGCGTGTGATTGGGGGTGGAAGTGTGGGAAGTTATGAGTGTGTTGAGTGCGTTGGAACTGCAATTATGGCTCCTTGGAATCCCTTTAGAGGCGCAACAAAAGTGCAATTATGGCTCCTTGGAACGCCACCAACCCTTTCTATCTAAACACGCAGTCACCTCCCCGCTAGTGCCCCTCCCCCATCTCCCCCTCTTACCCCATTCCATACTGTCGCCTGTCCCCTATCCCCTATCCCCTGTCCCTTTCACTGTAACGAACGGCAGTTCATAGGAGCCTCGTTGGACGCCAGCAGCATCACGGTGAACCAGCCATCGCCCATCCTGTCCTTCCCTTCCCTCCCCCTGTCCCCCTTTCCTTTCCCTCAATCTCTCCCCAATTCATAGGAGCCTCGCTAGACACCAGCAACATTGTGGCACCAGCAGAGGCAAAGCCGCCCCCACCCCAGGCACTGGCCAAGCAGCTTCTCTTTCCCCCCTGCTCCCCCCCTTTCACCCTTTCTCCTTATTCTCCGTCTTCAGTTCGTAGGAGCCTCGCTAGACGCCAGCAACATTGTGGCGCCAGCAGAGGCCAAGCCGCCGCCCGGCACGCCGCTGTGGGCGATCGTCACGGAGTACATGTCGGGCGGCACGCTTCGGAGCTATCTGGCGCGCCGGCGGCGCCTGGCAGAGAAGGACGTGCTGCGGATTGCCCTGGATGTGGCGCGGGGGCTGGAGTGAGTGGAGGGAAGAGGAGAGGGGGGGAGGGAGGGGGATGGAGGGGACGTGGGTTGTTAATTGTGTTGTGCATGGGGGGGCAGAAGGGCGCCTGGAGGAGACTTTTGAGTCGACTCAAGGGCGTGGGTTGTTAATTGGGTTGTTAATTGTGTTGTGCATGGGGGGCAGAAGGGCGCCTGGAGGAGACTTTTGAGTCGACTCAAGGGCGTGGGTTGTTAATTGGGTTGTTAATTGTGTTGTGCATGGGGGGGCAGAAGGGCGCCTGGAGGAGACTTTTGAGTCGACTCAAGGGCGTGGGTTGTTAATTGGGTTGTTAATTGTGCTGTGCATGGGGGGGCAGAAGGGCGCCTGGAGGTGACTTTTGAGTCGACTCAAGGGCGTGGGTTGTTAATTGGGTTGTTAATTGTGTTGTGCATGGGGGGGCAGAAGGGCGCCTGGAGGTGACTTTTGAGTCGACTCAAGGGCGTGGGTTGTTAATTGGGTTGTTAATTGTGTTGTGCATGGGGGGGCAGAAGGGCGCCTGGAGGTGACTTTTGAGTCGACTCAAGGGCGTGGGTTGTTAATTGGGTTGTTAATTGTGCTGTGCATGGGGGGGCAGAAGGGCGCCTGGAGGTGACTTTTGAGTCGACTCAAGGGCGTGGGTTGTTAATTGGGTTGTTAATTGTGTTGTGCATGGGGGGGCAGAAGGGCGCCTGGAGGAGACTTTTGAGTCGACTCAAGGGCGTGGGTTGTTAATTGGGTTGTTAATTGTGCTGTGCATGGGGGGGCAGAAGGGCGCCTGGAGGTGACTTTTGAGTCGACTCAAGGGCGTGGGTTGTTAATTGGGTTGTTAATTGTGTTGTGCATGGGGGGGCAGAAGGGCGCCTGGAGGTGACTTTTGAGTCGACTCAAGGGCGTGGGTTGTTAATTGGGTTGTTAATTGTGTTGTGCATGGGGGGGCAGAAGGGCGCCTGGAGGTGACTTTTGAGTCGACTCAAGGGCGTGGGTTGTTAATTGGGTTGTTAATTGTGTTGTGCATGGGGGGGCAGAAGGGCGCCTGGAGGAGACTTTTGAGTCGACTCAAGGGCGTGGGTTGTTAATTGGGTTGTTAATTGTGCTGTGCATGGGGGGGCAGAAGGGCGCCTGGAGGTGACTTTTGAGTCGACTCAAGGGCGTGGGTTGTTAATTGGGTTGTTAATTGTGTTGTGCATGGGGGGGCAGAAGGGCGCCTGGAGGAGACTTTTGAGTCGACTCAAGGGCGTGGGTTGTTAATTGGGTTGTTAATTGTGCTGTGCATGGGGGGGCAGAAGGGCGCCTGGAGGTGACTTTTGAGTCGACTCAAGGGCGTGGGTTGTTAATTGGGTTGTTAATTGTGTTGTGCATGGGGGGGCAGAAGGGCGCCTGGAGGTGACTTTTGAGTCGACTCAAGGGCGTGGGTTGTTAATTGGGTTGTTAATTGTGTTGTGCATGGGGGGGCAGAAGGGCGCCTGGAGGTGACTTTTGAGTCGACTCAAGGGCGTGGGTTGTTAATTGGGTTGTTAATTGTGTTGTGCATGGGGGGGCAGAAGGGCGCCTGGAGGAGACTTTTGAGTCGACTCAAGGGCGTGGGTTGTTAATTGGGTTGTTAATTGTGCTGTGCATGGGGGGGCAGAAGGGCGCCTGGAGGTGACTTTTGAGTCGACTCAAGGGCGTGGGTTGTTAATTGGGTTGTTAATTGTGTTGTGCATGGGGGGGCAGAAGGGCGCCTGGAGGTGACTTTTGAGTCGACTCAAGGGCGTGGGTTGTTAATTGGGTTGTTAATTGTGCTGTGCATGGGGGGGCAGAAGGGCGCCTGGAGGTGACTTTTGAGTCGACTCAAGGGCGTGGGTTGTTAATTGGGTTGTTAATTGTGCTGTGCATGGGGGGGCAGAAGGGCGCCTGGAGGTGACTTTTGAGTCGACTCAAGGGCGTGGGTTGTTAATTGGGTTGTTAATTGTGCTGTGCATGGTGGGGCAGAAGGGCGCCTGGAGGAGACTTTTGAGTCGACTCAAGGGCGTGGGTTGTTAATTGGGTTGTTAATTGTGCTGTGCATGGGGGGGCAGAAGGGCGCCTGGAGGAGACTTTTGAGTCGACTCAAGGGCGTGGGTTGTTAATTGGGTTGTTAATTGTGCTGTGCATGGGGGGGCAGAAGGGCGCCTGGAGGTGAAGGACGTGCGTCGGATTGCCCTGGACGTGGCTCGCGGGCTGGAGTGAGTGGGGGGAAAGGGGGGATGGGGGAGAGGAGGGGAAGGAACGGGGGAATGGGGAGAACGAACTGCTGGGGTATGGGAAAGGGGACGGGTAGAAGGAAGCGCTGTTCATTTTTGTGGAGTCTGGATGTGGCATGGGTGTTGGAGTTGAGTGGGAGGAGAGGAGGTGGGGGATGGAGGGGGAGATGGTTGAGGGATAGGTGCACACGGGAAGACATGGTGGGAAGGGCGCATGGCAAGGGGAAAAGGGGAGAAGGACCAACTGGCATGGCGCATCCCCTGGCGTGAGTGGGAGAGGGGGAGATGTTGGGAGGACGTGGGTTGCTAGATATGCGGTGCTCCTGGCGTGAGTGGGAGAGGGGGAGATGTTGGGAGGACGTGGGTTGCTAGATATGCGGTGCTAGGGGGGCAGAAGGGTGGGGGAGAAGGACGTGCTGTGCTGTGCATTGCCCTGTGCTGTGCATTGCCCTGTGCTGTGCATTGGCCTGTGCTGTGCATTGCCCTGTGCTGTGCATTGCCCTGTGCTGTGCATTGCCCTGTGCTGTGCATTGCCCTGCGCTGTGCATTGCCCTGTGCTGTGCATTGCCCTGTGCTGTGCATTGCCCTGTGCTGTGCATTGCCCTGTGCTGTGCATTGCCCTGTGCTGTGCATTGCCCTGTGCTGTGCATTGCCCTGTGCTGTGCATTGCCCTGTGCTGTGCATTGCCCTGTGCTGTGCATTGGCCTGTGCTGTGCATTGCCCTGTGCTGTGCATTGGCCTGTGCTGTGCATTGCCCTGTGGCTGTGCTGTGCATTGCCCTGTGCTGTGCATTGGCCTGTGCTGTGCATTGCCCTGTGCTGTGCATTGGCCTGTGCTGTGCATTGCCCTGTGCTGTGCATTGGCCTGTGCTGTGCATTGCCCTGTGGCTGTGCTGTGCATTGCCCTGTGCTGTGCATTGCCCTGTGCTGTGCATTGCCCTGTGCTGTGCATTGCCCTGTGCTGTGCGTCGCCCTGTGCTGTGCATTGCCCTGTGCTGTGCATTGCCCTGTGCTGTGCATTGGCCTGTGCTGTGCATTGCCCTGTGCTGTGCATTGGCCTGTGCTGTGCATTGCCCTGTGGCTGTGCTGTGCATTGCCCTGTGCTGTGCATTGGCACTCATCGTTTGCATATACTCCTGTTTGTGCTTTCTTTTCTTCCACCACCCTTAGGTACCTGCATGCGCACCACATAGTGCACCGGGACTTGAAGTCGGACAACATCCTGGTGAGCTACAAGGGCAGCGTCAAGATCGCTGACTTTGGCGTCGCTCGCACCGAGGCCAAGAACCCCGGCGACATGACCTGTGAAACCGGCACTGTGCGATGGATGGCGCCTGAGGTGAGACCAAGAGGGGTTGTGCGTGGGAAATAACTTATAAGACAGTGCATGTGTGTTCCTTGCGTGTAAGAGTGGTATGCACAATGACAAAGAACCCCGGCGACATGACGTGACGTGTGAAACCGGCATCGTGCGATGGATGACGCCCGAGGTGTGGGTGAGTGCGCATCAAGCACCAATTCGTGCAACCCCAGATGTGTTCCGTCGATTCTCACTGCCTCTTCGCCTTTCCTCACTGTCTCTCACTCACAGGAGCCGTACACGCGCAAGGTGGATGTGTACAGCTATGGCATCGTGCTGTGGGAGCTGGCTGGTGAATCAGGTTCCTTTCCCCTCTTTCCACTCACACAATCCCCCTTTCCCCCATGCAATATTCCCAATGACGCAACACTACGGCCCCTCTCCCCAGGTGATAGATCACAAGGCGTACACACGCAAGGTGGATGTGTACAGCTACGGCATCGTGCTGTGGGAGTAGCAGTCACCAGAGGCACCCCCCCGTTGCAATCATACAATCCCCTCGCTCACCTTGCCGCCCTGTTCAGGTGATAGACCACAAGCCGTACACACGCAAGGTGGACGTGTACAGCTATGGCATCGTGCTGTGGGAGCTGGTGACGTGCGAGCTGCCCTTCAAGGGGCTCACCTTCATCCAGCTCGCATACAACGTCGTGCACAAGGTGCGTGTGTGTGTGTGTGGCACCTGGGGTTGACGTGTTGTACTCATCAACACGTCAACCCCAGGTGCCACCAAACGTCTCACCCCTTCAATGCGCTCACCTTCATCCAGCTCGCATACAACGTCGTGCACAAGGTGCGTGGGTTTGGCTTGAGGGAACTAATCTAGCATGATTTAAACAAACGAACCGCATGGTGTGGAGAGCCAAAGAGCTCATATTCTCTAACGGCTCACTTTCATCGAGCTAGCCTACAATGCCGTGCTCAATGTGCGTGCGTGGCACTGGGCGATGTGAATAAACCACATGGGTTGAACAATCAAACCACATGGGTTGAACAATCAAACCACATGGGTTGAACAATCAAACCACATGGGTTAAACAATCAAACCACATGGGTTGAACAATCAAACCACATGGGTTGAACAATCAAACCACATGGGTTGAACAATCAACCACATGGTGTGGAGAACTCAAGGGCTCACCCCGTCAAGATGCCTCATCTTCATCCGCCTCCATACAATGACGCGCACAAGGTGCTGATTCTCTCTGTTGCAAGGCTTTGGTGACCCATAGAAGCTCCCAGTACACATCCCCCACTAGTGCTACCCAGACTTGGCCAGCTGAAGCCAGACTGCTGCTGTCCCTGAGACTAGAGGGCCCGACTTGAGCTTCAGAACCACACCCCCCGCATCCCTGCTTCCCCTGCGTCCCCCGCATCTCCCACATCACTGCATCTCCACCCCACACAGAACCAACGGCCGGACATCCCCCCCTCATGCAACCCCGAGGTGGCAAAGCTGATGGCTGAGTGCTGGGACCGCGACGAGGCAGTGCGGCCCGAGTTTGCTGAGATTGTGGCACGGCTGGAGCGCATTCAAGCGGACTTGGGGTCGGGTGGTGATGTCAAGAGCAATGGGGACACGGGGACTGGGTGCTGCTCGATACTGTAACTCAATTGATAAAGTTGGTGTTTATATGTATTTGTAGGGTTTTTTATTCGGGATGCGCAAGCATCCTGCACACTGTCTGTTCCAAAGCAGTTCTTAGGGTGTTACGGCAGCTTACCCTCAGCGTTGTATAGCCAGCAAATAATTATTAGTATTACCTGTTTTCTGCAAAGCACACCCCAAAGACTGCCTAAGCACCATGCCTATGTACATGACTACCACATGAATATACACAGATGAGCACATACCGTACATGAACCTCACATGGCATGGCTGGTCATGTCATGCCCATGGCGGCCACAAGGCAGATCACATGTTTCACATGGTTCCGATTCACGGCTCCCTAGCACACTTGAATGCTGCCATCCCATCCCAGGCGGCCTTCGACTTGCATGCAATGTTTGCGGCGCAATTCCCTAGCAGCCCTTGATTCTGGCATCCATGCCTTCGATTCGCATGCACTGTGACTCGCCACACTACCCATCGACGTTCCCATCCCCATCCCCATTCCCATCCCCATCCCCATCCCCATCCCCATCCCCATCCCCATCCCTACACACCCATGTACCTCCTGCTTCTCACCTTCTAACTCTCTGTCTTTCAACCCTTCACTGCACCCTTTCCCTCCACCACCCCCGCCTCCTCCCCACACGCCCCTTCTTGAAGCATCACTGCCTTGCGCCAAACCCTATACCGTCCCACTCGTTCTGAAAACTGGCTCGGGCCGAACCCAGAGTGCATCCTACCCACGCCCGGACCATCGTCCATGACCGTGCCGAGCCTGGCATGGCAGGCTCGGCAGCGCATGACGGTGCGCTCGCGGTGAATCCCGAACGAGTTGGTGCTCTCAAAGAACGGCCCCCAACGGCTCTCCATGGTTGTGACTATAGCGAGCTGCTTCGCATCGGCGCTGCTTCGCTCGAAGGAGATGGAGCCGCGATTCCCGGCGTCGAAGCGAACAGCGGGCGGAAAGATGGCGGACGTTGACAGGCCGATGTCCGCTCCGCAGGCGAGACAGCTGGAGTGCGGGAGAGGACGGGGAAGAGGGGAGGTAACGGGTTGGGCGGAGAAGGGTTCGAGAGGGAAGGGAAGTTCAAGAGGAAGGGACGGCAAGGTTTTTGAGACGTTAAAGACGTGCAAGAGTGGGGGTTATGAACGTACAGATAGTGACCAAACGGCAACACTTCATCCTTAGCGGTCTTCATAGTGATAGACTGGGGAAGTTCTAGTTCCGAAGAGCACAGCTGCTAAAAATATTAAAGTTATTGAACTTTGTTTATACTTCTGGGTATCACGGATCTGTGGCGCAACGGTAGCGCGTCTGACTCCAGATCAGAAGGTTGCGTGTTCGATTCACGTCAAGTTCAATACCTGGTTTTTGGTCTGAAGGATCGAGCTTCCACTTGTGGAAGGCTTCGGTGTGTCTTTGGCAATGACATAGTTGGGTGAGTTTTAAAGACCACACCCAGAATTACCAAGTCGGGCGTGAAACTGTCACCACTTTCACGCGAGTGGTCGAAAATTTTGAGTGGTTTTTGGATGCGATTGGTGTTCGGTTTTCTTGCCGAACCTCCTCTCGGGGTTTTCCCATACCTAGAATTTTGGGGTTGACTTCGTTGTGTAATTCGGGCTTTGGCCTTTAAGTTTCGGCGGAAGGGGAACTACCGAACCTGCGCTTTCCAGGGACCTTCACCTCTACCTGCACACAGTTTCCCAGGTTTCGAGGCCCACACAGAAGACTTATTGCGCTGAGACAGAACTCGTCTCCACATTTACCCACGTGTCATCATCTCGAAAGCCCTTTGCTGCTGCTAGTCAGGTGTATGGTGCACAACGAAATTTTGTTGTTTTTTTCCTCTCTAACCCTTACTAAACTAAATCCCTCTCGGCTGGCAAGTGATAAAGGGCATCAACCCTAAACAGTGCGACTAAGTATTTAGGGTTGATGTCAGAATGAAGAATGGATGATGCATTGATGTTGGTTGGGGTACATATAGCTAACCCTAAGTTTTGTACCCCCTAAGACAAACCTCACTATAGGCTACAACATTTGACACACCCCTATAGCCTAAGTGAGGGGTGTCTAGCAGAACCAAACGAGTACGGTCACAAGACCAGTCCAAGAAACAAAGCTCAGGGTGGATCACAACGTCACCACACAGTCTGAGCACAAACAACAGTGGCCACAAGGCCAGTCCAAGAAGTAACAGAGGTATATAGAAAGCAAAGTAAACAGTACACTCAAGCCTAAGCAACACGAGAACCAGTGTCAACAAGGCCTAACTGCACACAGCACCTCTGGTGGTCACAAGGCGGAAGCGCCTTGGTGAAGATGTCTGCAGTGTTGGCCTCGGACTCCACAAACTCAAAGCGAGCCTGTCCACGCCTCTGCAACTCTCGCAGAAGAAAGTACCTGACGTGAATGTGCTTCACTCTGCTCTCCAGTCGTGGCTCTCGACAAAGGAGAATAGACGCCTTGTTGTCAGTGAACAAGGTCGGTGCAGAGCTCGGCCGCTCACCAAGGTCGGTGAGCAAGAAGGTCAACCAACGCAGCTCCTGTGCCGCCATGGCACCAGCGTAGATCTCAGCCTCAGCTGTAGAGGTCGAGACCGAAGAGGAGCGCGTGGACCGCCAGGAAACAGCTCCAGAACCCAGGCTGAAACAGTACCCCTGAGTAGACCTGTGAGTCTCAGCGTCGTCAGCGTAAGAGGAGTCACAGTGACCAGTAAGTACGACAGACTGCTGCCCTCCAAGAACTAGCCCCACGCCTGACGTCGTCGCTAGGTACTTCGCCACCCTCACAGCTGCTGTCCAGTGAACAGGACGGTGTCTCCCTGGCGCAACAAAGCGCGCAAGAACGCTGAGAGGGAAGGCGAGGTCCGGGCGAGTACAAGTCATCAGGTACATGAGGCAACCCACAAGCTCTGCGTAGGGACCACTAGGCTCGAACGGCTCGTCAGGAAAGGGTCCAGTGAGTCTGTGGTCAACAGCAAGAGGTGTGCGCTGTACTGTGGAGTGCTGAAGCCCGAACCGCTGAAGGACCTGCTGCACCATGTGCGACTGTGAAAGTGTAATGGTGTGAGCAGCTCTGTCCCTGGTGATCTGCAGGCCAAGGTAGTGGCGCAGCTCACCAAGATCAGTGCAGGTGTGTCTCTTCTGCAGTTCGGACTTCACGTGTGCCAAAGCAACCCTGTCAGGGGTGGCGAAAACAAGGTCGTCAACGTAGACCAGAACAAAGAAAGGTGTGGGGCCACGACGAACGAACAGCGACGGGTCAGCAGAAGACGGCTGGAACCCAAGGTCAGACAGGGTAGAACGCAGGGTGTCGTGCCACTCACGAGGAGCCTGACGAAGACCGTAAACCGGTCGCCTCAGCCTCCACTGGGTCCCAGGAGGGAAAGAGCCAGTGAAGGCAGAGGGACGACGCAACCAGACCTCCTCGTGAAGACTGCCCTGAAGGAAAGCAGTAGAGAAGTCGAGAGAGTGTAACTCGTAGTCTCTCTGTGCTGCTACGTGCAGTAACACCCGAAGAGTGGTCATCTTCGGGGTGGGCGCGAAGGTCTGAAAGAAGTCAACTCCCTCGCGCTGACTGAAACCTCTAGCCACGTAGCGCGCCTTGAAGACCGGAGGAGATCCCGGTGGCCGCTTCACCCTGTAGATCCACATGCCGTCGACTACGTTCGCCCCCGGAGGGGGAACCTCATCGACGTAGGTGCCTGTGGATCTGTAGGAGGCCATCTCTGCGTCCATGGCAGCTCTCCACTGAGAGGCCCAAGGCCCTGACACTGCCTCAGCGTAAGTGCGAGGAGTGGGAATGTCAAGGGCGTCGGGGTCACCCTCAGGGGCGAGGAGCATGGCACAGAGATGAGGGGAAGCGGCCGCCAGGAACTCTAGCTCAAACTGCCTGTCCTCTAGGGCGTCACAGCCAAGGGCAGACACACCCCCGACGGCCAGAGGACTGGAAGGAGGAGCTGCCACAAGAGCGGTGGCGAAGTCAAGGCGGCGGGTAGAGGCAAACTCAGTGACTGCGGCAGTAAGAGCGGACACAGAGGACACAGAGGCACGAGGGTGGGTAACAAGAGAGGCGAGAACACGAGAGAGAACAGGACGGTACGTGCGGTAGTAGTCAGTGACAGGAGAAGGAAGCGACACAGTGAGGGCCGACTCAGGAGGAGACGGAAGCACAGACGGAGACGGACGAGGTGGACGAGAACAAAGGAAGGCTGTACGAAGGTCAGTGAAGGGAACAGGAGACGAGGGACGAGCACGAGGGGAGCGACGAGAGGCCCAAGTCTGAGAAGGAGGAGGAGACAACGAAGACTGAGAACGAGGGAAAACAGCGGGAGAGGGGTCAGGAGGAGGAAGCGGAGGACCAGAGACGGGAGGAGAGGGGGAGGAGGAAGGAGAGGGAGACGGGAGACCAAGGGTCCGAAGACCCGAGACAGGAGGAGGAGACGGCAGCAGCTGCTGCTGCTGCTGCTGCGGCTGCTGTGGCTGCTGCTGCTCCAGCGGCTGCTGCCTCTGCTGCTGCTCCTGCTGCTGCTCCTGCTGCTGTCGCTCCTGCTCCTCGAGCCGCTGCAACTCTCTCTCCTCTCTCTCCAACTCCAGCTGCTCCTCACGAGCACGGCGAACACGAGCCTGGAACCTGGTCGGGTAGGGGTGGGGGGAAGGAGTAGTGTCCGGGGCAGCGGCAGCCCCAGAGTCGACCTCCGAAGCACCAAGCACACCACCCCCAGAGGCAGCACCAACACCAGCTCCAGACCCAGGCTCTCCAGAAACCGAAGGGACACCCTCACCCCCAGACGCAGCACCCCCAGACTCCGCACCAGCACCCCCAGACTCCGCACGACCAGTACCAGCCCCCGGAAGACAAGAGTCCTCTGCAACCCGCGGCTCAGCTCCAACTCCAGCACCCCCAGAACCAGAGACCTGTACAGGGACAGTCGCAGGACCAACCTCCCGAGAGGGAGCACCTGCAGGAGGCGGCGAGGAAGACTGTGGGGAGGGAGGCTGTACAGGGGGGGCTACCGAAGGGGGAGGGCTGGCCTGAGACACACCAGACGGGGCTGGACCAGGGGGGGGAGGCTGTACCGGGGGAGCAGGCGGGGGAGCGGCTGTCAGGAAGAGGGGGGGAGGAGGAACCGGGAGACCTCGACTGGGGTACCTGACGTAGTACGGGGTGGACTCCTCGAAACGGACGTCACGGGAGTCAAAGAACCGGTGAGAGGGAGGGTGGTAAAAGGTGAAGTCAGAGGAGTCCTCAGGGAAACCAAGGAAGACACAAGGAACGGCGCGAGGCGAGAGCTTGTCCGCGGAGGTGTCGCGGACAAGAGCCAAGCACCCCCAGACACGAAACCTCGACGCGACACCAGGGGACCCTGTCCAAAGACTGGTCGGTGAAGCCTCCGGCCGAGAGACGCGTGGCCAGAGGTTCAGCTGGTGCGCGGCGTACCTGACTGCGTATGGCCACAGGAAATGGGGGGCACGGGCGTGAGTCAAGGAGGTGCGGGCAATCTCCATGACCAGGCCTATGCGACGCTCAGCAACCCCATTCTGCTGTGGGGACTCCGGAAGCGTCCAGGACTGACGAATGCCCTGTTCGCGACAGAATCCAGCGAGAATGCCGGAGCGAAACTCGCCCCCGCGGTCGGAGTGGAGACAGCTGACACGACGACCACGAGTGTCCTGGGTGGTAAGCAACCACCTGATCAGCGTAGAAGTCACCTCAGACTTCCTCGCCAGGGGGAACACTGTGGTATAGCGGGAGTAGTCGTCAACGACCACCAAAAAGAAACGCTCACGCTCAGGGCCAGGGCAAGGAGAGGGGCCCCAGACGTCCAAGTGCAGCGTCTCAAAAGGCTCGGTGGCCGGACGAAGGGAGGAGGAGTGAGGGGTGGCACGCAGCCTACCCTCGACGCAAGGACCGCACGGTGGTGCAAGGGACGGCGGCAGCGACGGCAAGACACGCGGGAGACCTAAGACCAGACGCTGACTAGACATAGCACGCAGACGTGGAAGAGAAGGGTGTCCCATCCGGTGGTGCCACAGAACGGTGGGGTGGGCAAGCGACCGACAGGAGCAAGACGCAGCGACTGGACTGGACGCGACAACCTGAGGGGACGGAACCACCTGGTGAGACGCAGGGAGGAGACTAGGGGGAGGGACAGGAACTGGGAGGAGTGGCTGCTGCGACGGCGGCCGCTGT